CACGAACTCAAGCGATTATTCGCATACCAGTTTTTAGGATTTCTCAACTTTAACTATAGATTAAAACATCTAGGCATCTTACATAATAATAAATTTAAAAGGTAAGAAGTAGCGCTAGACTACGCACTTTATTATAATCCAATAAGCTGACTCAGTGACAGTTTACATCGGTGACAGTTTAACTAAACGGCCAGAATGCGTAGCCACTGCTAAGATTAACAGCTAGATGATAAAATAGCAATATTCGGCATTTTTAAACACGGTTTATACCAAATACGAGAATAAAAATCCACATTAGATCAACAGAAAGAACATGGGAACAAGAAATTCTCGAAAAAATAGCAAAATCTTTCATTTCGAAGATAAGATCTTCAGTGTGGCTGACAGGTATGCCCCAAATATCCAAATATCATCGTGACATCCCAAATAGTATCATTCCTATCCTGTATTGCATGAATTCTAAATGACTGAATGGCGCAATTAAAATGGACTTACCGATTGCACCAAAACGTTTTTTCGGGCACTAGGCATTGCTAGGCTTTCGCCACTATTAAGGCCAGAAGTAGTGGTCATTTTATTATGGAAGCACGTAATAGACGGCCACCGTTACTAAAACATTTAAAACAAAACGAAACATTTAAAAAACATTTAAATAAAACATTTAAAATGAAAAACTCAGAATATATAAAAATCTAAAAATTTACAACAAACTCCTAAAAATATAGTGCTGAAAAAACCGTTTTTAGTGATACAGATATTTTGGAGATGTTGGAGACACAGATCTTTTCTCCTGGCAGGATTATCATTTCATACTGCAAATACTTACGCGTATGACCTTTCATTTTTTTCGAAGTGACCAACAAATATCTGGGACCTTTGTATAATTTTGAACAAAGGAGTTAATTATAAGTAGAAAATAAAACAGTTTGTGTTACATATATATGCTTTCATAGGTTTATTTTGTAAAGACTAATTCATTGTCACGATTTGCCTTTTATTTGAAAATTTTTAAAGAGCAAACCATCACAATATTAAATATAAGGAATTGTCTTCCGTTTAAGAGGAACAAGTCATGTCATATATATAAACATTCACATTTAGAATGCTTTATTTTTAGCGTATGTTTCAAACTTTCTGTCTGCTCAACATTTATTTTAGGAATTTTTTATTTTCTTTCTTTCTCCCCGGAAACTGCGAATCAGTAGCTTTAACAAAACGAAAGTCGTTTTCACAGAAAGCCTGAGCAGTCGCCAGGCAACTGGTGGGAATTAATTGCTCTCAATGATGACGCTATCACTTCCTCGCGAGAGATCTGCTCACGCCATTGTATTCGTTAAAAATGCGTTAGGGAATCATGAATAAGCTCATTAACTTCCATATGCGTGATGCGAATATAAAAACCGCGCATATGATGTATAGGTATATTAGATTAAAATGAAGATTTCCCTAGTGGTTAAAAAGGCATCTTTTCCTTTGCATTTTCATAATTCGATTGGCGTTTATAATGCTGCACGCTTTGTTTGGTTAAGAAGAATTATGCCTAACTTTATGAATTTTCTGGTAGTTAACTGTGGCCGTTTGGGGAAGGTTAACTGACACTTTTAAAAAGAAAAATTATTAATATTCCGATTATACATCTGAATTTAAAAAATAAGGTGCTGAATTCTGCTTACAAAATGCGAGTAACGGGCGAAATTGAAGTAAGATAACAAAACTCTGGCTTCAGATGAAGCTACGATTTGATTTTTGATTTTTATTTTATTATGCTGTTGTGTTGGGTTCGTAAAGATCCTTTTGAACAAATGATCCAAATGAACGCAGAAACTCTTTTGAGATGAAGCTGTTATTCATCTCAAATATATATATTTGAGATACTTTATAACTCGAACTTCCAGAAACAAGAAAGGTAGTATAACAGTTCAAGTTGCATCAGCAGTTTTATCAAGAATGAGTGCATGGGATGCTTTTCAGCCACTGATATAGCCCGAGATTGAGCAACACTTTCGGTACACTTAATTGGCTCAATATATCTCAATTTCCTACATAAATTTGTTAAGGATCTTAAATAACCGTTGCCTTTTGTACTTGTCTTTGATGACCTTACAAACGAAACTCGGAGGAAATTATATAGCTGGAAGTTATGCGGAAAAAATACATGGGTTGATGTTAATATAAACAAATTTAATACTTTTTTTTTTTAAATAACAGCTGCATAATAAATGAGTAAATGAACTGAATCCCATTTCCGGTGTCTTTGCCTCCTATTAAAGACGTTCAAAAAAGCTTCGGAAGGCACTATTTTAAACCCGCTGTTTTAATTTGTTGATGAAAGCCTAACGTTAATCTTATTGAATAACAATTCTGAATATGATAAAATGACTACATTAATTATGAATTGTGAAAATACAAATCGCCTGCAACCAAGGAAACTTCTTTTGTTATTACGCATACTTTTACAACAGAAGAAAAGATGCCACCAATGTGTATCTGAAAGAATTATGAGCGTAATATGAAATAAAAGATTTCTAAAATTTTTTGGCTTAGCAAAAATACTATAACGGAACATATTTTACTTTTCAACGTACCATAAGAGTTCCTTAGAACACCTAAAAGCGCCGTTTACACTTAATATTCAACGGCTCTAGCGGAGCTAACCGGTGCATGGAACACGGATCTATAGAACCTAGCTCGTTCACACTTACTTGGAAGCGCCCACTAGAAAGCAGAAAATCTCGCCCCCTTCATTTGTTTACATTTCGTAGGTAACGATATTTTGCCTTGGATCTTTGAGCGGTACTGCGAATTTTGAGCGACATTATTTTAAAATGGTTCGACCGAAACGTATTGTGAGTAAAAAGCAACGAAAGCATATTGTGTTGCGTAATTTTTTCCTTGTAGCGTATATATTGTATGAGACATAATTTTTTCAATTGTAATAAATGAACATTAAAAGTTTAAAAGCATTGTCTCAAACTGTTTACAAGACAAAATTAGGAAATGCTTTAAGCGACATATTTCATTAACTAGAACACAATTAAATAAAGTTTTTACAGTTTAGTTCAAAGGAATAAATTAAAAATATTAAGATAATTACCATTGCTTGATAAAATATTAATACGAAATATCTATATCTTTATAAGATAATTATCATTGCTTGATAAAATATTAATACAAAATATCTATATATATATAAGCGGTTTAAGTGTTTGTCGCCGATAGTTTATTGTTGCCACTCGGAAAAATAAGCGCAGAAATTAACGTTTCCGCAGTTTTTAATTAATATCTCGGCTGATTAAAGTCGTACGAAGATGAGAACAGTATCGATGAATTCGGAGAACGTTTTGGAATCCGAGGATACGCGTCTCAAATTTCAACTAGGCGCCGTTCCGTAGATACTCGATAAAAAAATTTGGCACGTAAAGGCCCATTTACACTAGCGGAACTTTGAGTCTAAGAAATGCACGCGGAAGTTGCTAGCTTCACTAAATGGCGAAAATGTTACTCTTTTTTTTATAACTGAAACTGAATATGTACACATTTAAATAAACAGCCTAACTTATAACATTATTCAAGAGTTTAAGAGTTAAATATTCCCTCATAATACGAAAAAATTGCTGTTTAAAAGCTCTCAAACGAGTCTTCAAATTCGCCTGCGTTTCTTAGGCTCAAAGTTCCGCTAGTGTAAATGGGCCTTAACTGTACTAGCCAATACGGTGAAGTTGCTAAGGCACAGGGTTGCCGTTTTAAAAATAATGGACACGTAGACGTCTCGTTATGTAGATCTCGTTAAACGTAGCATTTGCTGTGACGTAGATCAATGCAGTCTCAGGGTCAAATGGTTAAGCGTGTTGGCATTTTTTTACCTGAGCCTGCATTTGGACAAGGTCAACTTTATGTTGCCTGTTCAAGAGTTCGTAAAAGAACGGACTTAAAATTAAAAATATTGGATGGTCCTCTGCAAGGCGAGCTTAAAAATGGTGGAAAGATCTACACAAGAAATGTTGTGTACAAAGAGATCTTTGACATGTGAATTAACATTTTATTATTTAAATCATCTTTATTTATTGAGCTAGCAGTGGCTCTTAAGCAATATACCGCCAGTGGTTTCCTTCATTGCACTTTATCTATTTTAAGCAATAAGGCAAGTAGAAGGGGGAAAACCCTGCGGGGTAGTAAGCGAAGGGGCGTCCTCGCCGCCTGCCCTGGGTAATTCAGTTTGAATTATCAGACACCTTTGCACAAATCATTTTAATTACAATTTATAATACCTACAACAGCGGTCATTTCGTATGATTGCCGGGCTTTCTAGTTAAATAATAACCATCATGGATTTTCTGGGTTGAGTATTAAGTATGGCAAAAGCAATAAGCATTACAGATTTTTTTCCTACCAAAATTTGGTAATTTAATATATAGGTTTCATATCATCAAAAATTATTTAGAAAAATCATATAAAAAATAAAAACGTTTTATTATCAGCATTTTTATTCCAAAAGATTAGAGAGTGCTCTCGAGTTTATAAAGTTGATATGATTCATTTTACTATATGAATTATAAACAGTATCATATTTTTTATTAAGAGAAAAGTTTAGAAGAATAAATATTTCATTTATGCATTTATCTATGCTTTGCTTTCACATCTTTTAATTCCATAAGAAATTTTATTATACAGTTAAATATATTATCTCAGATATCTGATATCAGTAATTCAATTAATTCTCTAATTCTCCGGTATCAAAATCTAAACACAAAAATGGTACTAAATAGAAAAGAAAATTACTTACTATCATGTTACACTATGAAGAATCCATGTTATACTATGAATGGATGATGATCTGCAATCATCATCCATGCGCATTTTTTCTTGACTTTGTACAAGGAAGCAAAAAAGACAAAATGTAAATCACGAGCTTCAAAATGTCTACCTTCTCAGGTATGCCATAAAGACTGGTTGTACAGTTAGAAAAGTTTAAACGAGATTTAGAGACAAAAGGAACTCACCTGTACTCGAACCTCTGGCAAATTAACTTTGACAGCTAGCTCTTCTCGGCTGTAGACATCAGGATAGTGAGATCTTTCAAACGCCCTTTCCAATTCGTGTAATTGGTAAGTCGTGAAAGTAGTCCTATTACGCCTGTGTTTTTTCCGCAAACTTCCCGGTCTGTCTGATGCGCAGAAGGTACTCTCGCAATGACTTTGGGGAATCTGAGAATCCGATTTAGTGCGATTCGTTCCTATCCATTCATCTTGTTGAAGGTTATCGGGAACTACGAAGAAACCGAAATCATCTTAGCATTATTGTTGAATATGCATAAAACAATACATTTTACAACTCAGACTTTAAATTAATACTTATTTATGATAGCACACTATATTTGATAAATTCTTAATAATAAGGATAAAAAGTAATCCCTAAGTTATTAAAAAATTACAAGAAAATATTATAAAAAATTTTCTACAACAACAACAACAATATATATATATATATATATATTACGAGAAACTTATATATATATATTAAAAATAAATTTTATATATATATATATATATAAATTACAAGAAAATACTATAAAAAATTTCTACAACAAAAAATACAGTTATTAAAAAATTACAGGAAAACTTATATACATAAATTAAATGATATATATATATATATTAAAATTATATATTATTCCAAAGTTATATCAAAAATTATACACCGAATAGGTGTATAAACACATTCAATGTTCTAGTTTCCATATGAAATGACAGATCAGAAAAAGCATTACATTTCAGCTTTTGTTTGGAACTAAAAGAATATTTGAATTGTCAACTGGTGTTGCACTTTCAAGAAGGAACGTTTTGCATATTTTTAACTGCTAGCTAAAATTATAACCCAAAGGTCATAATTTCCGGGAATAGAATATAATTTTCTGTATTTAATTTAAGCTCTTATTCATTATCTTGCTACATGCGAGTTTTAATCCCAATTTTTCATTCAAGAAATAGGTAATACCTTTTTATAATCTTAATCTGCATTTGCAGCTAAATTTGCATCACATTGAAAAATTTGCTTGCAGCAGTGGGCTTAAAATTAGAAAAATCGCTGCACTGAGAATTATTTGAAGTTGGATAGCCTTTCTATGCTCAAGCGGAAGAAAGTTTTATCATATTTATTTAGTATAACCATATAACCATCAAGTGTGCTTTAAATTGCGGATAATGGGAATATTTTGAATCAAAGATTAAAATAGCGATAATCATTCATTGAAAGAGTACATTTATATTATTCCATCGTACTGATTTTGCAACTATGAAGTTTGTCTATATGCCATCGCCTCCAATAGTTTCTCTCTCGAATTTACTCAGGAAACAGGAATCAGACAACAGGTGACTAGAAACAAAGTATGTGGTTAGGCAAATTTCCCTTTCAATTAAGCTTTCCGCACGAAAAGAGCAAAAATCTCGAATACTCCTAACATTGCCATGACTTTTTAATTTCTAGAACGCAATGCAATCTTCTATTTTATGGTTGAGGTCCTTTTTTGTATGTGGCAATGTCTAATCACAAAATACTGTCAGGTATTGACGATTACTCCTAATGAGGATGGATAGGTCTAGCAGAATTTTGCTTCAAATCATAATGCTCACGTGATAATAACTGCGTTAGAAAAGTTTGAAGAAGTTTCAAAAGTGCAGTCAAAAATGTTTTTCAAAGGTCTCTCTCTCTCTCTTTTTTTTTTTTTTTTTATAAAGACTTTATGACAAGGGATGAATGCAATAAAAGACAAGAGATCAATGTATTATATGAAGAATGTTTCAAAGCTACTATCGTTTTGAAGAATTTTGTATATGGCTTATAAGGTATTTTTTCTCTTCTTTCTGCATGCCTTCGTGGTGTAACGGTAGCACACTCGGCACGTATTCGGGAGGTCCAGGTTCGAGTCCTGGTCAGTGTATTGCTCATGTTTCATGTACTGCTCCTTCAAAATAACGTAATGACACCACAGGATAACTGAAAAGTTTTCCATAAACAAAAATGGCTTAAAAAAGAGGCCTTGAATGCTGGTCTAATTATCTACTTTTTTAAAAGAATGAAGAATAACATTTGAAGACGATTCTTTTATATTTAAATTCATTTGAGTGCATATAATCATATGACGGGAGTGTTCTGATTTCTATAGTCTTATTGGAAATCTTTCTTCCGAAATATATTCAACATAATCTTAGAGATATTTGTATACATTGCCAGAATTATGCTTTTATATATTGAAAATTAATGCTATGATAAATACATTATTTTTTTTAATAGAGCAAAAAGTTTTGATGTGCATTAGGTCGCATTTGAAATGAACTCAATATGATAAAATTAACAATAAGTCTCGTTGCTTGAAACATACAACGAGATCTAATAGGTTAACTTTTGCTAGTACTATTATTTAATGTATGTATATCGTCTGCAGATCATCAAGTAAACACATCTAGGTTTAGCCCATGACTCGTTCATACTCAAGGAGTCAGACGTTCGAAGATAGGTTGTCGGTATTTTAGAAAGTAATTAATTACCGTAATTCTGTAAAAGCAATTTAGGTTTTAATAGCGATTTTCAACGAAATGTAAGTTCTTCAAGTATTATTTTTTATACAGAAATGGGAAGATGATGATTGTTTAAAACGCAATCGCAAATGCCTATAGTTTGCATTTTTTGTTCATATTTATTGAATTTTTTTTTAAAAAATGGGATGTGTACACCATATGATTTCCTTGTACGGAATATTAAACTATTCGCATTTTTTTCCTGCATTTAATTTAAAGTTATTAAATTGAACTAAATCTACTTTTTCGATAGCGCATAAAATACAATAGAATAAATGCACCCTTTAAAATTCGCTATATTTATTTACCATAGCGCTAGGTTGAACTATCGTATGCAGATTAACTAGAGGCTTATAAAAACCTTAACCGGAAGATAAGCACAACGTAATTCAGTCATTTTTAAACCAAAAATAGCAGTTTTCCAACATATATGAATAAAAAAAGCTGATGTGTACACCACATGACTTTCTTATGCGGAATATTAAATTATACGCATTTTTTCCTACATTTCATTTACACTTACAGAATTGAATTAAATCTACTTCGTCGACAGCGCATAAACCACAATAGAATAAATACATTCTTTAAAATTCAATATATTTATTAACCATAGCGACATTCTGGCGCTAGGTTCACTTAACAGCGTTACATCTCATTCATTTTATAACTCAGAATGCAGAAAAGTTATATCATCTGAAGAGTTATATAATCGTCGCCACATGTTCTATTCAAATATTAAATAGAAAAAATCTAAAACGATGTATAAAAGAAATTAAACAAATAAAGAAGAAATAGTTTTTCACAGACAATTTCAGCGCCGCTTATCTAATGTATATGCATTACTCGTAAACATTCTCCTCTGTCCGAGACGCCCACCAGCGGCCGAGCGGTAAAGTCGCTGAACACTGGTAGTTCGGTCCGAGGTTCGAATCCCGCGAACGGGCTGACTGCATGGGTGTTTTCGTGGTTTTCCCCATGTGTAACGTGTATACGAGCCAGTTTCCCTTAGAAAGTCCTCCACGAAGGCATCCCTCCCCTTAGGCAGATAGCCCTAGTGTGCTTTGCCATAACTAAATACCCCAACACCTCTGTCCGAGACAGACTACCGACAGTATTTATTGTTAATACAAAACGCTTATTTCCTCCAATTTCACTAGCGATATATTTCTCATTCAATAAACTCAGTTGTCACTCCAAAAGGCAAAAATACATAAAAACTCAAAATATTTTCATTAAAAAACGAAAGAGATAGAAAAACATAAAACACCAAATATAAATAAAAATATAATTAATTTTTTAAAAAAAAACAACTTTTAGAATTAAAATTACAGTTTCTACTCAAAAACAAGCAATTGGACCAGCAGGCAAGAAGGCATATTTTTTTCGGTGCACAAAACTAAACGTTTTCTTCTGGCCCACTCGGCAAAAAGACACTGACGGTGCAGAAAGAATTAATTCACTAATCTGCTAAGTTTGTAAAGTAAATAAACATGGCTGCTATGGTCAAAACAAAATTTAGGCTTAGCCGCACTTCAACAACTTCTAATTGTTGATAATCCTATAAATATTGCATGCAGATTAACTAAAGGCATAAAAACCTTAATCGAAAGATAAGATAAATCAATCAATTTTAATTAATAATCGCATAATTAAACCAAACATAAAAATCTCGCATAATTAAATCAATCTTTTTTTTTTCATTATCATTTTAAAAATGATAACTCAGTTATTTTAAAAATGATAACTCAAGCATTTTTAAAGCAAAAAATGCACAATTTACCAACATATGAGAATAAAAAAAAACGGCGCTCATGGAGCTGAGTAACAAAGTGGGTATGTATATAAAAGAAGATATATATATATTCTTTTCTTATATATATATATAAAATGATCTTAAATTAGTGCGAAATCGAGTTATTGTACTACTTGCGCAATTGCTGCAATGTAAGTTTATAATAATTTATTTACTAAATAATATTGATTATATTATCTCCTAAGATTAATTATAGTAGAATTATCTGAAAAAGAGTGAATCCATATCTAATAAGTTCTATTTCGAAAGATGTTTTGAAGTAACTTGAATGTAAATTTGTTAAAAATGTTTAATGGGGGACTTGAATTAAATCATGAATAACAAAATTTCAAATGCAAAAGTAATAAATTAAAAGCAAGTAATTAAATTAAATTCAAGTAATCATTGCCATTGATCGGAAATCAGTTGACTTTTCAAGGGAAAGAAACCAACTCCCGTTTAATGAACAATAATTAAGAAATAAATACAAAGGTGTTTCGTCCTTTTTTTGGATATATACTTTTGGTGCGGCTGATTGCAACGAAAATTCTAGGTGCACAACTGAATGTTGCACCTCGAATATATGCATATGTTGCGAATATATGCATATGTTGCACTCGAATGCTATATGTATAGCAGTCCTATATACAAAATTTCAACGTTCTGAGGCTACTCGTTTTGAGTTATGCGAGATGCACATACGTACATCCGTACGTATGCACAGACGCCACAGAAAAAAAATCTCTCCTGAATCCATTTTAAATCAGTTTTATAATTCGTCTGGGAAAAAAGAGTCCTTTAATCTTTCCTTACGTACAGATGTCGCACCAAAACATCGTTAAATTGCATTCGATATAGTTCAAAATGGATATTTTCATTGAAATATGGTATTCGGAATTTTACGTGATTAGAACACTTCTTTTACTTCGTTCACGGAAGTAAAAAGGTAATTATTTATCTAAAGCCCGGTTTTACTTCTTTCGCAGTGCGTTTTATTTTAACCTGAAAAGCCTAGAGTGGAAAGACTACAGTAGAAAAGTCATATTATCGATTTTACGAAACACTTCTCTTTAGCTATAGAAATACATATGAAGATGTAAAGAATATTATTCAAAATAGGTATTATGTCTATTTCATTCTCGTGCATTTGAGTTCTATGAAAACAGGTACACATAAAATCTAAACCAGCAACTCTGTTACGCAGTAGGTCCTTGAAGTATTGCTATTCCTAGCTATTGATAAACGAACATTGATAAACGAACGATTCGCCTCAAAAAGCTATTGATAAACGAACATTGATAAACGGGAAGCATGTTTCACAAGTGCACATCAACGTAGCCACTGAGGGAGGGGTTTCGAAAATGGACCAATGAGCTTCTTTTGCTCTTGTGACGTTAAATATTCGTGCATGAGAGCGTATATTGTTTACGTTTTAATTTGCATTTGTTTCGCAGTTATAAATGTACGGCATAAAAGTAGAAAATTTTGTAGGGCTTTCGTTTTATGAGTTTAATTAATCGCTGATATCTCACTTTCGCGATTTTTATCACGCATTGATATTTGGATTGATGTTCACGGCATATTTTCGCTCTTTACACCGAGCAAATGACTCAGGCTACTATTATTAATTATTTTACTAAGAAATGTGGATTAAGAGAATTCATGTGCATAGTTATTTTTTATTGAGCTGAGAAGGACTGGAAGTGTTACAATGAATCTAGAGTTTTCTTATTTCAGTGCTTGCATTCTTTTGATTTTGAAAGTGTAAGATTCAGAATGCATATTGTATATTATCTGATATTATTCATTGTTAACATTAAAAGTTATATGTGAATAAATTGAATATATTTGTTGTGAATAGATAAATTCATTCTGTTTTATGAGTATTACTTATGTAGACAGTATATTTAAGAGTAAGCAGTTATTATGTGAAATTTAACACACTAAATGCAAATTAGTGAAGTTTTCACTTTGAATAAAACTCTGCATTGGCTATTATTATAGAACATATTCTTCATATAGACTTCATTAAAAAGTGCTGACTTCTATTCACATATATAACTGGTGTAAATATTTTTCTCATATGCATAGTGTTATGTAAAGATAGCATTTGGGCTCAGATGTGTTCACATATTTCTTTCGTCTTATTTATCACTTGAATATTTTTTCGCAGTATCCAATATGTGTTTGTATTTATTTCAAATTCTTTCAACCATGTAGTGAAATCTTCATAATTGCTTATATTTGATCTAACTTCACAATGAAAATTTTCAGAAGAAATAGACGATATACAGAAATTTGTACAGAAAATTGGGTGGCAAAATATTTTCAACGTATCTTGCTTAAATCTTAAAGCGTGCGAAAGGTCATGTAACATGGCAGAAATATTACTGGATGCTCATTGGTCCATCCTAGAAACCACTCTCTCGGTGGCCACACAGATGTGCACTTGTGAAATATGCGCCCGGGAAGCTGTCTGAGGCCTCCCGGCCTTCATTCCTTACCATCAGCCTCTCATGAGGATTTCAGCTTGCAGTGTAGTTTGAGTGTCTTTTTGCTACACAAGCATTGTAAGATTACAAATAGCAATGACATGTCTGGCACTCGAAACCGAAATTTCTCTGTGGCATTTAGCGTCACTAACCCGTCTAAATGTCATTTCATAAAAAAAGGGATTCAAAGTAATTTTAGAACATAATAGAGATGTATTTCTTAACAGTAGTATTGGCCATAAAAATAACAAAAACGCGAATTAATCGTAATAAATAATTTCTGATAATACCGGTTTCGAAATCGGTTTAAAAAATATAACAGAAACAGAAATTTCTGTTGTATTTAACAGAGAATATGTTATAAGGAACAGGCAGGTTAACAGAGAATATAAGATAATAATAATAAAGGTAATACTCTCATTTCAGTTACGCGATATAATGAAATTACTATTTGGGAAAATAAAATCATATAGTTAGTTGGCAACAACTATTTTAGAAAGTGTCCCATACATATATTGACAAGAAAAAAATTTCGGTTTGTACAAATAGATAGTGTTATGTTCGTATTGTTATTCTTTTTGACAATATTATATATTTTTTTCTTTTGAGATTTGGCAGCTGACAATTTTAGGTTGCTGCAGAAACTAATTCTGTGCATTTTTGTTTGCTACTGTTAGTTAACTGTCAGTTTTAAGATGGGATGCCACAATAAATATTTTCAACATAATTTACTTTTAGCGAAGTAAAAAGGAACGAAGTAAAAAGAACGAAGTAAAGTATCGTAATCGCGAAAATTTCGGGTATCATATTTCAACGAAAATATCCATTATGACTGCTATAGAATGGAATTTAACGATGTTTTTGCGTGACATTTGTACGTAAGGACAGAATAAAGGACTCTTTTTCCCCAAAAAATTATAAAACTTATTTAAAATGGATTATGAGTTTGGTCATTAAGAAAATCCTATCAGGAGAGATGCATTTCGGAAGAAATTAGAATTCATAGAAGGATCTGCTACAAGAGAGAATTATCAATATATAAAAAATTAATTAAGAAATCAAAATATGAAAGTAAATTAAATTACTTTTTAAAAGTAATTGTTATTATGATGGATTTTTACTTCCTTGTACGAAGTAAAAAGGAAGTATTGTAATCGCGAAAAGTTTCAGGCAGCATATTTCAACGAAAATATCCATTTTGTCTGCTATCGAATGCAATTTAAAGATGTTTTTGCGTGATATCTGTACGTAAGGACAGAATAAAAGACTCGTTTCCTCCAAAAAATTTATAAAACTGCTTTAAAATTACTTCTGAAGAGAATTTTTCGTGACGTCTTTACGCACGTATGTAAGTATGCATGTATCTCCCGTAATTCAAAAACGAGTAGCCTCAGAACATTGAAATTTTCTATACAGGACTACTATAATATGTAGTTGTGCATCTCCCGTTTTGGTTGCAATCAGCCGCACTAAAATTATATAAATATATACAGTGGGTAAAAAAATTTTTGGCAATTGCCTATAATTTATCCTATTAGCTAACCAAGGATATGCTTGACAATTGTAGCTGAACATAACGAACAAAGGAAGTAATAAACACACAAATCTGAATTAAAAATTTCATTTTAATATAGCTTTTACTCAAAATATACAACAAACACGTAAATTTGCATGTCAAAAAGTATTGGCAAAATCATACAGCAAAATGTGGGAACAAACTTTAATACTTTGTATTCATACTTTTTGCATTTATAACATCATGTAATCTATTTCTCATAGAGCAAACAAAAATATTTTTTGTACTATTGGGAATTTTGTGCCATTCTTGCAAGAGTATGTGCTTAAGTTCATCTTTACACGAACTTTTACGTTTCCTGACTTCTATGTCCAATTTGTGTCATAAATTTTCAATTGGATTTATGTCAGGTGATTGAGGCGCTGTCTTTAACTGGCAAGGAGCTTTATAGAATAACCACTCCCAAGTGAGATTCTAAATATGCTTAGGGTTATTGTCCTGTTGAAAGACGAAGGATATTCCTAAGCCAAGTTTTCGGACACTGAATTTCATATTATGGCGCAGTATGTCAATATACGTATTGCTGTCATAATATCTTCAATGAAGCACAGGTTATCCACTCCGTTTTTTGCCATACAGCTCCAACTACGAGGCTCCCTCCACCATGTTTCTTAATCGGTGTTAAATGCTGTTTTTTCAGTTAGGTGTTTGGTTTTCTCCACACAACTTGCCGTCCATCACTCCCGAAAATGTTAAACTTGGAGTCATCGGAGAAAATAACTGTGTTATAAAACTCGTCTGATCAACTGACATGAGATTTTGCAAACTCTAATCTCTTTCTCCTGTTTATTTCTGAAATAAAAGATTTCTTTCTAGCTGCCCTTCCATAATAACTTCCTCTATGTAAAATATTCCGTATAGTCTGTACACTAAAAGTTTTATGCGAAGTATTAGCAACGTCTTTGGCTACCTGGGGTGAACTTATTTTAGTGATTTTCTAAACCCCTTTGATAATATCACGTTTTTTTTTCCCCTGCAGAAATTATTCGAGGCCATGCACTTCTAATCTTATTTTTAGTCGATCCTGTCTCGTTCAGCTTTTATACAACATTTCTAACAGTAAATAAACTTACGTTCAGTTGTATACCGATAGCAAGACAGGTTAAACCCTCATTTCTGAACAAAACAATCATGTTTTTAACATCATCCAACTGCTTCGACTTCGAAGCCATTTTATCACAGTAGCACTGCAGTAAACAATACCGCAGCAGACTTTTTACTAACACGGTTTCTTAACAGTCTAAACAGGTTACCTCAACATAAAAATATTTGCATAGTAGTTAGAACTTTGCCAATACTTTTTTGACATGCAAATTTAGGTTTTTTGTTGTACATTTTGCGTAAAAAGCACATTAAAATGAAAGTTTCATTAGATTTGTGTGTTTATTACATCTTGTGTTTCTTATCTCCAACTAAAACTGTCAAGAATTTTCCTTGTTAGCTAATATGATCAATTATTGGCAACTGTCGCTGTATTTTTACTCATTGTATATATACGAAAAAATTTGGCATGTCATTTCAGAATTCAATTTTGTGTAAGAGAAAATACGCTTTCTGTTACAGAAAATCGAAATCTGAAATGACATGCCAAATTTTTCCATATTTCGATTTTACTACTCAAATTCTGCCTAAATATTAAATTTTGTAAACTTTGGTGCGAAATTTACGGAGAAATTCAAAAATTTATCTTGGCGTATTTTTTTAGTTTTCGTTAAGAATAATTTACTTGGCGAACTTCTTAATCTATAGCAATATATTTTCCTTTTCTTTTCTTCATTGTAGGCGATCGAAAAAAAGTCATTGTTTATGCTTTCAAATAATGCGTAATAAGTGCGTAAATCACATTTTTGTTATTATCGCTTATAATAAATATGCCAAATTTGAGAACGAGCCAAAATGTAAATTCATGTATATCTTAGAAAATGTTGAACAAGAAACTAATTTTTTGCAGGTGTGCCTTTAGAAATACATTTACTTTAAGATGATTTTAAAATTTTATAGGTTATAGTGCAAAATGCTTTTCGAAAAATTTATAAAAAATATTTTAAAATACAAATTAAAAAAATAAATCATAGAATATATTCAAATTATATTTGGATTAAGCCTAAATTTCTATTTCTGGAAGAAAGAATCATGTAAGTTTAATAAAAATCTGATGTGTACACCACATGACTTCCTTGTACGGAATATTCAATTATATACATTTTTCTTGCATTTCTTTAAACTTATTGGATTGTAAATATACTTCGCCGACAGCGCATAAACCACAATAGAATAAATGATTTCTTTAAAATTCACTCTAGTACTTGTTTATCATAGCGACACTCTGGCGCTAGATTCACTTAACAGTATTATATTTCGTTCATATTATAACTCATAATGCACAAAATTTATATCATTTAAAGAATAGAATTATCTAATCGTCGCCACATGTTCTATTCAAATACTATAATAAAGCTAGAATGATGTATAAAAGAAATTAAGCAAACAAAACAAAAAGAAACAGTTTTTTCACAGACCATTGAGTATTTCTCATTTAATTAATTCAGTTCTCACTTCGCGAGAAGGCAAAAATACATAAAAACTCAAAATATCTATATTAAAAATTACGAAGTAAATCTTAAACACTTATTTCCTCGAAAAAATTACAGAAAGAATTAAGCATGATTTAATTGGCAATAATAAATGAATGCGTTATCTTTGTTGTTGCGAAGCTAAGTTTCTCAAGATTGGCAACAAATCCACTAGTCTCCTGTTTCAAATGTAAACATCAATGGCCGCCATAAAAAAAAGGCTTAGCGGCACTTAGACAACTTTAAAATTGTTGATAATTCTAAAAATATTGCATATAAATTTACTAAAGGCATATAACCTTAACCGGAAGATAAAAACAACATAATACAATAATTTTTAAAGCAGAAAATGTACAATTTACAAACATATAAGAGTAAAGAAACTGAGATCACTGAGCCGGGTAACAGAGTGGATATATATATAAATATATTTATATACGTTTGGTGCGACCGATTGCAACCAAAATACGATTTGCACGTCTACATGTTATAGCAGTCCTATATACAAAATTTCGACGTTCTGAGGATACTTGTTTTTGAGTTATGCTAGATACGTACGTACGTACTTACCTACGCACGTACGTACATTCGTTCGTACAGACGCCACGAAAAATTCTCTTCAGAATTAATTTGAAAGCATTTTTATAATTTTTTTGGAGGAAACGAGTCTTTTATTCTGTCCTTACGTACAGATATCACGCAAAAACATCGCTAAATTGCATTCGATAGCGGTCAAAATGGATATTTTCGTTGAAATATGCTGCCTGAAACTTTTCTCGATTACAATACTTAATTTTTACTTCGTACAAGGAAGTAAAAATGACTTGCATATTTTTAAAATTTTCGGACTAATTTTTAAACTGCCAGACAGTAAATTTTTACTAAAAGCTGATTTTGTAAAAGACCGAATTGTTAAATGCTCTTAAGATTATCCAGATTTGAGACAGCTAATATTTAAAAACTTACTAATTTCACAGAAATTCAGCGTGGTTAACACTAGATAAAATATCCGTTCATTTGGACGAATAAATCAATAAATTATTTTACATGTAATATAGATTACAGCTGTACCTAAAACTATTTTTAATAAATTATTGAAAAATACAATTAACTGAATGGGAATTAATATAAAGTCATTTCAGCTACTCACTACTTTATAATACTACTCACTACTTTATAAACATCTACTCACTACTTTATAAACATTCAAATCAGTTCATTTCGAAGTTCGAGCAAGTCAAGCTTTTTTTCTAAGTTGTCGGTACTAGTTAAGTCATTTCTTCATGGCTACCAAATAAATACGATATTGTATTTTTGAGAATAATTTAAAAACCAAATTATTCAATTATCTCTAATTTTATTTCATTAGTGTCTTGATGATTACAAATATAATAATTGTAATACGCATTGTGCTTGCGTATCGGAAAATAATGCTTCGGTTAAATACATTAACGTAAATCTTTAAGTTAGTTTTACAAAAATAAAAGGCGAAATTATGCTTTTAGTTACTGTATTTAGTATTTATCAAAATTTTTCTAGTCATAAAATTAATATAGTAAACTTTTCTGTATAACCTATAATATTTTGCATCATATTTATTGTGCTAAAAATGTGGGTTTTCAAGTAAGCATTTCTAACAAAATATACTTAATACTGTAAGTTAGAAATCATTCTTATATTGAAAGGCAATGGGAGCAGAGCAAAGTGAATTCGAAATTTTTCACTAGAATATTTCTGTGCCATTAAATCTTATGCTCCTTAAGCAAAGTAATTCCCTTCAGCTGTGTACAGTTACAGACATTTAGCTTCCGATTGTAAGCATATATTATGTATGATTGCTTAGTTTCTACTTACTGCTTCACTCGAATTTTGTACTTAATTAAATATAAATATTATTACATTGAGAAGGTTGCACAACACAAAATCTCTTTATAATTCAAAAATAATTCATATGTACCCATTTCTTTCAGGCAATCAAAAGGCCTTGGCCTGCTATTATGAGAACAGTCTATGGAAACCACGAAAGATTTGAAAACACATATTTTAGAAGATTCCCTGGTTACTACTTCACAGGAGACGGTAAGATATTTTTAATAGATTATTTTTCAAAAAATTCTTCAAAACATTAAATTGATGAAATCCGTCCATCAGATATAAAATGCTGTTTAAGTTTCTAGGCGTTAGTTTGATAAAAAAATAATCGACCATTTAGTTAAACAAACTGAAATTTAAAAAAAAAATTGTTATATGAATTAAATGTTAATATAAAATTAATCGTTTTCTATGATTTCTGCTTATCTGTCAGGCAGTATTTTAATCCCCTTATTAAAGAATGATTTTGGTTTTCCTTCAAAATATCTACTTATTACATTTTCGGCCTTTTATTTACTTAGAAAATTTTACTAACAAAAACATGCTACACTGACCTGAGCTGGTAATAACTGAAGAGAGACAATACCTAAACTCTTAGATGGGTAACTAAAAATTTAAAGTTTAATAAACTCCTTATTAAACTTCTATCGAGTTACCATAGCAGACCTTGCGATCAAGGAGATATTTTGATGGTTAAAGTTTGATGGTCATGTTATAAGGTATTTCTCCCACTTCCCTAACGTGCCTTTGTGGTGTAACGGTAGCACGCTGGGCCGGTATTCCAGAGGTCCGTGGTTCGATTCCCGGCGAAGGCGGTTGCATATTTTCATTTTTTCTGCTTCCAATTAACCTAATGACTCTACAATGTTATCTAATTGATGGCAATAGGTGTCTGCGTTAATGACCTAGTTTTTTTTAACATATTAAAATGAACTATACCTTCTATATCCTCGTAAATACAGAAGACCTCCTTTGGATAGTTCTGATTTTCCTATAAGAATTGCCTTTGCTTTTGGACTTAACTGCTGTCATTTTTGAATAACATTAGCATATTAAAATAAATAACAAATAGAAACCTTTTCCCATCTCCAATCCAAATACCGCTTAAGGAAGGTTCTGTATTTTTTGTGAACAGAGAAATACAAGCCGATACTTATTTATAATGATTTTTAGCTGTTAGTGCATGTAAAGTCCAAATATCAACTCAAAAAAAATTTAATTAATTTTAAGAAATAATTAATTTTAAGAAATAATTATTTTTTATTTTATTGAAAAACAGTCTCTTCCTTTCTTTGGTGTTGAACCTGCTATTTTGGATGAAGATGGAGAAGAAATCGAAGGTCCGGGTAAAGGATATTTGGTAATAATTTTACAATTATGTACCTTAAATTTATTTTAATGATTTATATAAGCGTATTTGGTATGTTGACTAGAATATGCACTAAATCTATGAGAAGCAAAATGCAATATAAAGTATAACTGATAAATTTGCACATTATGATGTCTTGTCGTTATATCTTCTTTCAATAAAACATTTAAGCCTACAATTTAAAAAATATGATGTGTACACCACATGACTTCCTTGTACGGAATATTAAATTATACGCATTTTTTCTTGCATTTCATTTAAACTTATTGAACTTAAAGCTAGAATGATGTATAAAAGAAATTAAACAAACAAAACAAAAAGAAACAGTTTTTTCACAGACCATTGAGTATTTCTCATT